CGGTCCCCAGTGCCCGTGCTGCCCCGGGAGCGCTGCGCTGCTCAGCTCCGGGCCTGCCGGCGGGCGCTCGGGAAAGGAATGGGTACCGATGGGGAGGCGGTGACCTGGCTCTCAGCCTTCTGGAGCAGCCGTGGTTCTGGGATGGGGGAGAGTCGCGGAGTTGTCCCGGGGGGCTGTCGCTGATCTCCTTTGTCTGCATTTGCTGTTGTCTTGTACAAAATTCTACCTCGGTGAAATGGAAACAAATACGGGTCCTGTTTGCTGTACTTCTTTATTTTGTGTCTCCTTACCACTCGCTGTGGTCTCTGGTTGTGCTGCTGCTCTAGGTTGTAAGCTCTCTGGGCAGGGACAGCGTTGTACCGTGTTTGTGAAGCACTGTATGCATTGCCATGGTGTATAAAAACATACCGTAATCACCATAAAATGCTTCCTCTGGATCCCTGTCACTGTCTAAGTCCCAGTGTAGTTACATAAAAGTAGAGTGGCTTCTGCCAGGATTCCTGTTAGTTTGGCTGTTTCCTTTTCCCAGACCTTAAGGGTACTTGGATTTAGTACTTGTTAACACTGATCAAGTGATAAAGCTTCTTGGCTACTTCTACCATTCCAGTTTATCCATAAATGGGAGAAGGCAGAGCCAGTGACCCTATTTGACAGCTCTTTTGAGCAATGGGTGGTGAAAAACACTGGCAGGTCACTGGAGCTGGCATGTGCCATCCAAGCTGGCCAGGGCTCTGTGCCCAGCGCTGTCTGTGAATTCTGACATTCATCACTTTGGAAGCTCTGGTCCCCCAGTACACACCAGTTCACTGCAGCCTGTGCTCTGTGTAACGTGCAGGACACAGCAGCAGCTGCGTGTGCAAGTGTAGCTTTAGTTTGAGGAGGAGGGACTAAACATCCTTCACAAGTTCCCCATGCTCCCCAGGCCCACGGTCTCTGGGGTCCCTGTACCCATGGGCTGACACAAGCCTGAGCTGCTGCCACTGGCCCAGCTCACCTTGGCACTTTTGTGAAGTGACTGCAAGGACATGGTGGGGTTGGAGTTCAGGAAGGAGTGTGAGATTGCACAATGCTTACTGCTGAGGCCATTAAAGGTCCCCAGTTGTGTCCTACACACTTCAGCAGGCACAGTGTGTTTGTTACCTGCTTGCTCTGGAGCAGAGACCCAAACTCCACAGTGTCCCACACCTTCCCTTGTGTACCCTGCTTGGAAGGATGGAAACATCTTCCGAGGGACTGAAGGTGTTGAGCTCCTCAATGCTGATCTCAGTGAATGCTGTGGGCAGCTGAGTTACTGCCCACTCACTCTTGACTGCTGTTTGCTCCCGCCATTCTGTTCTGCTGAAATAGCCACTGGCCTTTATGCCCAGAGAAGGGCAGCAAAGGCTTCAAATCCAAGTGACTTAGTAAAAAAAAAAAATAAAAAAATACAGAGGTTTTTATTGGAGAGCTCCTGTACATGGCTCTTCCTGCCAGGTCCTGTGCTGCTCAGGTGAGGAGCACACTGTGCACAGTATTGTGCTGCTGCTGCCCTGACTGCTGGTGTGTGCTGTTGGGTGTCTTTAAAGCCTGAATAGAGTTAAGTGTCTGAGGTAGCTGGGAATTATGTAAAATGCCTTGTTTCCCCCCAGTTCATTGCCAATGTGTTTCGGGCTGCCAGAGAAGAGCAATCTGCAGCGCTGTTTCAGAAACTTCCCCAGGGGAAGAGTGGTGACTAAGAGAGGAAAAGCCTGGCTGTTTCTCTCCAGCTGGCAACATTAAATTATGATTAAGAGGAGCTTTATTGTTCCAACAGACCTTCTTTTGCATAACTCTTGTTATGCAGATGAAGAGCAGCAAGGGCCAAAACAGCTGGCTGAGGCCCTGCTTGTGGGCCTGGGACTAGGACTAGGACGTGTTGGCCTGGGACATGCAGAGGGTAATAATTTAGGAGCTCCTGTCTCCCAGCCTGTGGTTTTCTGCACCACAGAAGTTGTTAGTGAACCTCCAGGGCTACTTTTTATATAGCAGATTTTTTTTTTAATTAAAGCCTTTTGTTAAAATAATGTGTAGTTATGTGTGTGTGAGTTGATTAAACTGTCTCTGAGGATAACAGATCAGACCTGGCCGGTGGTATTGGTGTGGCACAAGGTGGCACATAATCACAGAGGAGCATATGTTATTTTTTACAATCTGATGCTTCAGTCTTTGAAGAGATCTAGCTGAAAAGGGAATATTTTGAATGCTGGCCTGAAGAACACCCTGGCTAACCTAATTTAACACTGAGCATTCCTCATAGCTAGTTGTGTCCAGGATAACAGGTGTTTTTCAGGGCTGAGGTGCTGTTTATGTGTACCAGTTGAGTCCCTGTTTTATTATCAGAATTAACTTGCATTGCTACACCTGAGTGTGCCAAGCAGATCTGGGACCTTTCCTGCTGTAACACTAGATACTACTCTGTTTTTTCTAGTGTGGTTGCTGAGAAATGGCCAATGAGAATCACAGAAGCCCTGCGGAGGAAGCATCTCTCATGAGTCACTCACCTGGCACCTCCAACCAGAACCAGCCCAGCTCCCCCAAACCCATGCGCCTGGTACAGGACCTGCCAGGTACCAACTCTGCCTTCAGGAGTTGTGCAGGGCCCTGGGAGTGGGGAGGGGGCTGAAGCACAGGGAGACTGGGAATGATGTGTGTTTCAGTGTGTGCTGTGACAGTGCTGGGCACCTGCAGGGCAGGT